GAAGAGGAGGAGGAGGAAGAAGAGGAGGAGGAGAAGGAGGAAGAGGAGGAGGAGAAGGAGGAGGAGGAGGAGAAGCAGGACAAGCAGGAGGAGGAGGAGGAGGAGGAGGAGGAGAAAGACAATGTGGTCTTATACTCAACAGCAAGATCTCAGTTTGATTACTAGTAACAAGAAGGAAAAGGAGGAGGAGGACAATGTGGTCTTATGCTCAATGGTGTACACTACTCTGGCATAAAGAAGGACGACTGCGGGCCCTGCAGTAGAGCAGAGGCGCCTTGAGATTGTAATGTTAAGGGTGAAGTGAAGGAAAACCACCGCACAAGCAAAATATATCATGGTGTCTTTTACATTAGAAATCCAATCTACACCTAAAGTGCCGAATAAAAGACAGACAGCAGGGAAAATAAAGAGAAAAGTTACTGTAATAGAGCAGGACAATCTGTCTAAAATCATTTACTACAATGGTATTGTGTGTTTTACCTGCTGTTTTGGCCTGCTAGTCTGGTGGTTAAAGTGTCTTTAGTAACTAACTTCATAAGGACGTATAGACTAGACAAAAGAATCTGATGCGGGGAATGTTTTTACAAATGAGCTGGAGGGGAAGGGGGAAAATAAGGAATGTACTGTGCTCCGTCCCGTGCCTGTGCCCACAGTAAACGTCATCCGGGGGACTGCGAGCCCGGGCCAATAACAAGAAAACCTGAGGAACCGAAGCGGCCTGACGGGGTCTCGCACTCCCTCCAGGACGGTGCAGTGGGAAGCGGGCCGGGCGGGCCGGCGCCGTTAGGGGCCCCACAGCCCGCGCTGTATTCGAGGGCTGCTGGCCGCGGGTGCTGCTGTCAGGGGACGCGGGGGCCTGGTTGGAAAGCTCGGTTCTTTTCGCGGTGCTGCTCGCAAACTGAATTGGTTGTGAAGTGAATGAAATTCCGTGGTTAGGATCCTGCTGACCTCGTGGGGACATCTGATTCGGTTTGCGACCAGAAGGGAGGAAGAATGAAGTCTGTGAATCGAGGGCCACCGACTCCCCCACCCCACGCAAGGGCGCTGGCAGCCGCTGCGCGCTGGAGAGACCCCCGACCACACAGACGCGGGGCGTGAATGTAAATCCTG